TTTTATGGTGTTTTTCATTCAGAAGTCTATTTTATCAGAGATTCATATTGCCACACCTGTTTTGGGTGGTTTTTTTGTTTGTTTATTTTTGAGTTTGCCATTGCTTGACATAATTTCCCCCAGCCTTTCACCTTTAGTCTTTCTCTTTTTTTTTTTTTTTTTTTAGATGTGTCTCTTGTAGGCAATGTATTGATGGGCTTTGTTTTGTTGCATTTTTTGTCCATCCTGCCACTATTTCTCTTTTGATTGGCACATTTAGTCCATTAACAATAAGTGTGATTATTATCAGGCCAGGTTTTACCACTGTCTGTTAGGTGTGTTTCTTTTACTGCTATTTGTGGTTACTATGGTCCATCCACTTTCCTTTGGCATCTCTGTGTGAAGGGCTTCACTTAAAATTTCTCATAGTTTTGGTCTTATTTTCACCTATTCCTGAAATTCCTTTTTTTCTTTCTTTTATTTGTTTAAAAAGTTTTATTGATGAATGCAAGTTGACTTTAGATTTTGCTGAGAGCAGCCACATCCATGGACTGCACGTAGTCTTCAAAAGCAGTTACCTGTTCTTTCAGCTCATCTGTGCCAACTTTATCATCTTCAACTACACACTGTATCTGAAGCTTCTTAATTCCATAGCTCTCTGGTACTAGCTTGGAAGAGCCCCAGACCAAGTCGTCTGCCTGAATACTTCTGAAGCACTCTTCCAGTTTTGCCATGTCGGTTTCATCATCCCAAGGCTTCACGTCTGGTAAGATTGAAGACTTGGCAACAAGTGCAGGGTTTTGTGCTTTCTTTGATCCATACTGTGCAAGACGTTCTTCTCTTAGCTTCTTTGCTTCCTGACTTTCTTCCTCCTCCTCAGATCCAAATAGATCAATGTCATCATCATATTGACTGTCTATAGCTCCCCTCCCTGTGGTGTCCCACACATTAGCAGGGCCATACTTGGCCAACATTTTCCTCACTCCTGACAGGCTGTCCTTTTCCTTCTCATAAGACTTGATGTGATTATACCAATATAGGGCATGTCACAGGTGGGGAGCTGGAGACAGCTTCAAACACTGCCACATCTGCTTGTGATGGCATATATCCCTAAATGTAACTGTTGTCAGCCAGGTAATCATTGAGGATTTGGAAGCTGGCAACAGTCTTGAGGTCTCTAAAGCCCATGATGTCAGCTATACATGGAGCTTGGCAGCAGCAGAGGCCAAGAATAAGGGAGGAAGTCAGCCCCAAGCACTCAAAGGGGGGTGGAGGGACAGTTCCTTCTTTTCCTCAAAGGGTCTAAATTGTCTTCATATTTGATGTAAATCTTTGCTTGGTATAGGATCCTTGGCTAGCAATTGTTTTCTTTCAGCTTTCTGTATATGCCATCCCATTGTCTTCCTGATCACATGGTTTCTTCTGAGAAATCATATCTTAATCTAATCATTTCCCCTTTGTAGTGACACTTTGTTTTTCTTGTACTTCTTTTAGTATTCTGTCAGTATCATTTAATTTGGAGAATTTGACTATGCTATGTATTAATGTTTTTCTTTTTGAGCCTAGCCTAATTGATGTTCACTGTGCTTCTTGAATGTGGATTTCCTGGTTCTTCAAAATACCAGAGAAGTTTTCTTCTAGTACTTCTTCCACTATTTTCTCAGTGATTTCCCTGTCACTCCCATGTTCTGGAATTCTAATCATACATATGTTGTTCATTATGATGTTATCCAACCTGATTCTGATGTTTTCTTCATTTTCTTTTTGTAATATCTCTGAGGAAGAAAGGAGAAAGGAGTTGGGCATCTCACACGAAAGCTGGCAGAACCCGCAGACCTCCCATCTTCCCAGGTAATCGGAGACACCAGGAGCACGTGACATCCGTTCCGGCAGAAAGGAGTTGGGCATCTCACATGAAAGCTGCCAGAACCCACAGACCTCCCATCTTCCCAGGTAATCGGAGACACCAGGAGCACCTGACATCCGTTCCGGCAGAAAGGAGTTGGGCATCTCACACGAAAGCTGCCAGAACCCACAGACCTCCCATCTTCCCAGGTAATCGGAGACACCAGGAGCATGTGACATCCTATCTACATAGCAATTCTACAGGATGCATCACCTTTGACCGATAAATATTGCGACTATACTTCAGAGACACTGATCCCAACATAAGGAACTACCATCAGCTGATGTGTTTGAAATCACAGAAGCCATGGAAGCTTCATATATAAGTTAT